GAGAGATGGCTTAGATGGTAGGACCTGGGTTTGATTCCCAGGATCCATATCATGGCTCACAACCATTCTCACTCAAGTTCTAGGGGATCTGACACCATCTTTTGACCTTAGTGGGGACCATGCACAAGTATGGTGGACAGACATACAGGGAGACAAAACATTCATACACATAAAATTAAATAAATCTTTTTAAAATGCCTTTAATAAGTTCAAAATTACTGCAGGCTGTATCTCCAACTGATGCCCCTGCCTCAGGCTCTTATGGATTAAGCATAGACTCAAACTAGAGTCACCCATGCCAAATCCCATGTCTCCAGGCTACAGTTCAACTGTTCATCTTACCTTCTGAGAAATCAGGACTAGAACAATATAGTCAAATCTTCCAAACAAGCAAACTCCTATTAGTTTGATAATCAAGAGTCACTGATGAAGTGACCCCAGATGGCCTGATGTTAATGATCATCTTCCTATTGTTTTCCTGGTGCCACCTTACACAGAACAGAACTGTCTGTTAGGTGCGGTAGCCCAAGCCTGTAATCCTAGCCCTCAGAAGAGGATATGGGGATCTAGTCCTAGGCAATATTGGGTTGAGACTATTTCAAAAGACATGAAGGAATTCCCAACAAAAACAGATGTCAGGGGTGTCACTGAGCGTGCCTCAGGGCCTGCAAGAGTTCATGGTGAGGTCTAGAGCAAAGCATAGTAATACGACATGCAAGATGGTCACTGTTACTCTACCATTAAGGGAGAACTCTGTAAATTACATGAAGTACCTTCTGGTAGTTGTCACAGCAAAAGAATGGCTGTGTCCCTTTCCAGCAGAGTACTCCATCATATAATGATGGTGACTCAGAATATTTAGCACAAATAAGAGATGGTAGCTGGGTGAGGTAATGTACACCTTTGATACTAGCACTTGTGAGGCCGAGGCAGGAGGATATCTGTGAGTTTGAAATCAGCCTGGTCTACATAGTGAGATCTAGGATAGCCTGGGCTACATAGTGAGACCCTGTCTCAAGAAAAAAACGGAAAACAAAGAGCTGGTTCAGACCATTATGGTTAAGTGTTTGCAGGGGCCCTGCACGGTAGAATGAAAGGGCTGTCTGTCTCCTAACCTAATACACGTGAATGGCATTCATGTACAACCCCTACAAGAACACAGGCACACAAATTAAGAAAACACATTAAAAAGGGCAAGTTCAGTGGTACAAGATGGCCATTTCAAATACGTAATCTTCATAAAAAAAAACAGATCAGAAGAGCCCCAAGACTCCTCAGTAAATAGTGGAGTGAATTGGTCTGGCATGGTATAATTTATTACATTTGTTGTGTATTCATGAGTGTGTGCACATGCATGGGAAAGCCAGAGGGTGAAGCTGGTTATCTTCACGAAATACCCTCTTACCTTATATTTTTAACAGTTCAATCAACATATTTACCATTCATTAACAAATTACTTGCTTCTCCTGGGACTAGAGAGATGAGTCAGCAATAAAAAGTACTTGCTACTTATGCGGAGGATTTGGATTTGATTCCCAGGACCCACATCAGATGGCTCACAATTGACTTTAATTCTAATTCCTGGGGGAGCCAATACCCTCTTCCAGTATCTGAGGGCATCTGCACACATATGTTACACACACACACACACAATCACACACATATACATAAAATTAAAAAAAAAATCTTTAAAGATTTTTACCTGCCACCCTCCGTCCCTTCTTTTGCAGACAAGAGTCTCACTATGTAGCCCTGGCTGTGCTGGAATTTACAGAGATCTGCCTGCCTCTGCCTCTGCCTTTCTGGTGCCAGGATTAAAGGTGTGCACCCCTACAACCACCCACTCTCCCAATTTTAACAACGTAAGTACAAACCCAATATTTATCCCAGTACTTGGAAGCAGAGGCAGGAGGATCTCTTGAGTTCTACTCCAACTTGGTCTACATAGTGACTACAGGCTATCCAGGGCTACATAGAGATGCTGTCTCAAGAAACAACAAAAAGTAAATTTCCTATTGGGTTTTACAATTTTATTTAAACTTCATTTTACGTGGATGGGTGTTTTGCCTGCATGTATGTCTGCGTACCACATACATCCCTGGTACTTGAGGAGGCCAGCCCTCTTGGAACTGGGGTTACAGATGGTTGTGAGCTGCCATGTGAGGGTAAGGAATGGAACCTGGATCCTCTGAAAGAGTAGCCAGAACTTACTTTTTAAAATGTCTCATATCAATCCCATTCTCCCTCCCTCCCCTCATCCTTTTCCCCCCATCCATCCCTCACCCCACCCCCTATCTACTCCTCAGAGAGGGTATACAGTCAGTACTGCTGCCCAGCCACCTCTCCACCCCTATACCAGGCTCTGTGTGTGTATGAGGGGTGGGGCCAGGTCTCACTATGTAGCCCTGGCTATCCTGGAAGGCACTGTAGACCAGGCTGGCTTTGAACTCAGATATTCACTTGCCTCTTCCTCCCAGTGCTAAGATTAAAGTTGTGAGCCACCATGCCAAGCCCCTACTAGCCTTTAAAAAAAAAAAAAAAAAAGAGAGATAAAAATTAAGTTTGTGTTTCTTCAAAATCATGCCAAGGTGAACAGCTTCAGGTTGTTTTCTCCAAAAAGCACTTCTGTTTGCCTTGTCCTTCCGAGGTTCCCTGGAGACAACCATCCTGCTGAATGGAGGATGGGGGATGATGGATCCCCTTATATTTTGAGATAGGTTTTCTCATTGATCCCAGAACTCACCAATCTGGCTGGACTTGATGGCCCATAAAGCCCTGGGGCGGGGGACCCTCCTGTCTCCATTTCCCAGCACTGCACCCAGACTTTTACATTTGGGGGTTGGGGACTGAACTCAAGCCCTCACGCTTTCGTGGCAAGCCGTTTATAAGCGAGCCACCTCTCTGACCCACAACAACATGTTTTAACAAGCTCTCCACGTGGATCAGAAGCGTGCTCTTGTCTTCATAATCACTGTAAAGAACTATCAGCTGTTTATTACACAGCATACGGCGGGAACATGAGAGATTCAAGCTCCCTCACCACCAGTTCAGAATAAGGTGTATAGCATGTTGGGTATTTTAGGAAATGAGTCTATGGAACAAATGCTGGCCCAGGGTTTGTTGGCCTCAGTGTGTTGTCTTGCCACAGCTGTGTGTGAAATGGCAACCAGGGGAGCTGGGCTGGCAAGACACCATCTCTGTCTTCTGCCTCCACAACACACAACAGCCAGAAATCTAGAGGAGGCACTTTCCCACCATGACCCCGCTGTGCTGCTCCTCACCACCTCGAAGTTATGGACAGCACTGATGAGAGCTCTGCAAAAGGTTCTTGCAAGGGAGGCAAGGGACCTCAGGAAGGGAGGCGGGACACACCAAAGTGGGCAAGAAATGGGAATGGGTTTTTCCTTTAGCAGTCTTCCTAGTGATAGAAGGGTGCAGGAGACAGGTTTGCAGGTGATTCTCCCAACACTCAGGGTGGGAAATTGAGGGCTTTCGTGTAATTTGGAAAGAAAATTGAGAGAGGAGGCAGAAGGGCCTGCTGACCCATTCCTGTAATCCTGGTATTAGGGAAGCTGTGGCACTGTGAATTCAACACCAGCCTGGCTACAAAGTGAAACCCTCACTCAAAACAAGGACAGAGGCATGCAGGAGTATGGGATGGTGTATGTGAGAGGCAAGGAAAAGGAAGCCTCCTTTCGAGTTGTTGAGTAGAGTTAGGAATAACACATCCTAGGCACAGAAGTCCTGGAATCATCTGGCTATAGGGTGCTGGGCTTTGGAGCCAGCCAAGGGTTCAACACTGTGGCTGCAACCATGGGGGCAGATCACTTGTATACCCAACACACAAAATACGTTAGGCACACAAGACAGGTGTTTCTTCTCTTTTTGATTTTTCCATGCAGGGTTTCTTTGCATTGCTCTAGTTGTTCTGGAAATCGCTCTGTAGACCAGGTTGTCCTCAAAATCGGAGACTCCCCACCCCCAATCTTCTACCTCCCAAGTGCTGGGACTGAAGGCATCAGGCAGGGCTACCACCCGGCTTTGTTGTTTCCTTTTCCTTTTTTCTTTAGACTGGGCACAACTTTTTATTCTCTTTCCAGGACCTGCTGTGAATACTGGTGTAAGATTTCCTGGTTTAAGATATAGTCTCAGGGGGTTCGAGCCCCCCACCCCCATGGATTAAAACAAGTAAGTCCACTCAACACTGCTAAGTATATGAATGAATGGTTCGTATTCCAAGCCTTTCTCCATCCGTACCTGCAAAGATTGCATAATAATATCTCACAGCCTAGAATTGGACACAGAGTAGGCGCTCAACAAGTTGTGTTTTTCCTTCCCCTTGACAATAGACTGGGTCCCCAGGCGGTTCCTTTCTCCCTGGGCGTCTCCACCTCCGTTCGCCCCCGCAGCCTCAGCATGGCCCCGGACGCGCCGGGAGGGGAGAGGAGGGGGCGCGGCGGCTGTAGCCAGGAGCCGGCTCCCGGCTTACGTAAGAAGCGAGTCCGGCGCGGCCGCCGGGCAGAGGCGGCGCCGCCCAGAGCGATCCTGCTCAAGTCAGGCCCGGCTCCTTTCCGCCGAGGTGTCTCTCTCCGGCTGCTTGGGGCAGAAGTGGCACCCCCTAGTTTCAGGCAGTGGCCACTCTGGGGATGCGACTCAATGAGGAAAGGCCGGCGAACGGGCCCCGCTCAGCCCACGTGCGGGAACCGGCAGGGGACGCCCGGGATCGCTCGCCTGGGATGGGATGCAAGGAAGGACCCGGGTGGGTCTGACTGACCTTTGACCCCAGAGGGCCGAGCTCTCAGGGCCGGGGCCCCAGCAGGGCTGCACCGGCGTGGCCCGGGGCTAGGAGGTGGCGGAGGGCGGGGCTGAGGGCGGGGCCGTCTTGAAAAGCCTCTCCTTCCCCTATAGGGGTGGCAGGCGAATCCCCGCGTGCAGAGGGTGCCGAGGCAGGGTCTGTTGAGCCAAGCGCGCGGGCTGCGGTTCAAATCACCCTCTCCCCTCCAAAGCCATGTCTTCCAAACTCCTGCGCGCGGTCATCCTCGGGCCGCCCGGCTCGGGTAAGGGCACCGTATGCGAAAGGATCGCCCAGAACTTTGGCCTCCAGCATCTCTCCAGCGGCCACTTCTTGCGGGAGAACCTCAAGGCCAACACGGGTGAGGGGCCGGGGCAAGGGAGCGAGGGTGGAGACGAGCTCGGAGGGGTGGGTGGTAGGGTCGGGATCTGGGCAGTCGCGGCCACGGGTCCCCTCGGTGCCGGCGCCCTGCCCCCGCCCGCCCGTGTGTGCCCGTGCGGGCTCGTACGTGCCGCGGCGCATGCAGCCAGCCGCCCGCCCGCGCGGCTTAACCGCGCCCGGAGGAGGCCGAGGCTGGCCGGCAGCGCCTCCCACTGCATCAGTCTCTCGCTCGTGGGGAGGATCTTGTGCTCCAGGCGGAGGGAACGCGAGCCTGTCGGCGGGAACCCTAACTGGCCTCTCATGCCGCCTCCCGTATGCACAGTCCCTGGGTCCCCTGTTGCAGTCTTTCCGTGCCGCGCGTCGCCTCCGCGGGCGAGGAGCTGGGGATCGCGCGCCTCCCACCTGTGGGAGTCGCGTCGGCCGGCGCGCTGGGACTCAGTGGCGCGCTCCGGCCTGGAGCTAAGCGCTGCATGGCGGTGAAAGGCCTGTGGTTGCTGCTGGCGTCCGCGGCAAACTGTCCCCGCTGACTTTACTCCTCAAGCCGGGCTTGGCTGCCTGGAGACTCGCAGACTCTTAAAATGCGTTTTGAGTTCTGCCTTTCCTGCAAATGGCCTTTTGAGACTGTGTGGGCGGGTGCGATGAAGTTGGGAATCTAGATTGCCCCATATCTTCCTAGTCTTGCAAATTCCTGGTTTCTCCCCTCTTCCTGCGCTCCGGGTTCCAAAGGAATAAGCTCGAGAAGGCAAAGCTACAGCGGGGAACTGCGGGGCATGGATGCTCCTAGGATGCAGATGAGGGTAATTAGCAACTCCCTCATGAAACGTGTTACCTATGAGGATCTTATCTGTGGCCAAGGTGAATTTTGCTCCTTATGGGCGAATTGTTCCTGAATCTGTATTTCAGAGGCATCTACAAGTGTGAACAGGTGGGTGGAGGATAATGAGTGAAAGTAGATTAAAAGTCAAACATTTTAAACATCTGAAAGGCCGATTATTCTGAAGCAGGTTATAAAAGCCGGCCTTTATTTTTGGATTCTCGGGCACGCTTCCTCACACCTGTGCCTGAGATAGAAGCCTTTATGTGTATCAGATTGTATTGTTATCTCCAGGGCGGCCCCCTTAGCCCAACCACTGGGTGGGGATTGAAGCCCAGGCTTTCAAATAGGCTAGGCAGGTACTGCACCACAGAACGACATCCAAAACTTTTAAAATTCCATTTTAAAATCTTACTTGTATGAGTGTGGTCCTAGCATTGTGCATGTGGAGCTCAGGTCCCCAGTCAAGTGTCCCCTTAGGTTTGAGATAGGTTAATAGTTTTTCAGTCTTAGTAGCCTGGGATATAGAATCACGCCATTCCCAAGTTAGATTCTTATTCTCTGCAGAGAGTGGAACTTCATTCAGGTGTGAATGCTAGGCAAGCAATGCACTCCTGAGCTCCATACATTCCCTTGTCTAATGTACTTTTCTAGTATTTTGAATACAGTTGGGAGCAACCTGAGGGCTTGTGTGTAGGGTTGGACTTCTAGGTAAGGCTATATATAGAGAAGGGTAGCTGAGACATGGCTAGGATCATATCCAGCCCATTTCATAACACCCTCTGCACTGAGCCTGTGTGGCCAGACTGGCCTTTTTCAGATGGGCAGTAGAGGTAGCCACCGTTATTGGTGACTTTAGGCTGTTTGGCTTCACTCCAAGACCATGAAGTTGATTCCAAAGTCACCATTTACTACCGAATAGCTGATGACCTTCATACTGAGGCAGTAGGGGAAATCTGGCAGCTTGGTGGTCAGGTCAGCCTGGTTGAGAAGATTCATGCCTCCTCTGTGGTGCTCCCAGGTTGGAGAAGGAAGGCAGGCTACTGGTGCTCTGTCTCCCGGGTTCTGCTGTCTTGGCTGTTGCACATGAGGGCAAAGACTTGTGATTCCTCATCAGCCCAAGTCGGACCTGTGTCATTGTGCAAGTGTAGCCCTAGGTGCTGGAACTAGCTATGTAGATCAGGTCTGCCTCAAATGTAGATCCCTCTGCCTCTACCTCCTCAGTTCGGGAGTTTAAAGGCCTGTGCATTGCTCCATTGCTCCACACCTGGCTCCCTTTCTACTTTTGTAAAGAGCATTAAGCATTTTAAAACAAGGTTAATTCATTATTTGTATGAATGTATATAGGAACCATGTTCATGTGTGGTACCTACAATAATCAAGAGAGCGTCAGATCTCCCAAAACTAGTCAATGGATGGTTGAGACATCCTATGGATACTGGAAACTGGATCCAGGTCCTTTTGAGCACCCAGTGCTTTTACCCACTGAGCCACCCCTCCAGCCCCATCATTTTTAATTTGAATTTCTTAAAGACGACATCTCATATGTTGACCAGACTGGCCTGGAGATTAGATCCACCTGCTTCTGTCTGCTTAGGGTTGGGATTAAGGTGTCCTTTGTCATACTCTGCCTTGTTCTCAGTTTTTAAATTACCTGTGTGTGTGTGTGTGTGTGTGTGTGTGTGTGTGTGTGTTTATTATCATTATTATTATTATTTCTTTAAGAGTTTCTCGGTGTAGCCATGGCTGCCATGGAACTCACTCTGTAGACCAGGCTGGTCTTGAACTCAGTCTGCCAGCTACTGTCTCCTGAGTGCTGGGATTAAAGAAAGACATTCACTACTATTGCCCTGCAGGTTTCTATCCTTTTAAATGTCTTCATTCCTCCACTCTTTTCTCCCATAGTAAAAGTGACCTAAATGTTTTTGGGAATCACCCTCCCCCCTTTTCTTTAGAGTTGGTGTGTATGGTATCATTCTGTCTCTCTAGAGGTCTATGTGAGAGTCTTAGGGTCCTCTGTCTTGTAAGGACACAATTTACACAGTATTTATTTTTCTTGTCACCCTGCTGCTTGCTTTTAACCTCGCCATGAAGCCAAGAACCCTTCAGAATATACAGTTTGTATCTGAAGTTTGAAGGTGACATGAAACACAGCAACCCAGGAAATCAGCAATTTCAGTTGGAAAGTAGCTGAGGCCATCTGCTACAGCCTGGATTTGGGCAGACTCTTGCCTCCTGCAGTCGGGTCTGGCAAAAAGCTGCCCTGCAGGAAAGGGCCTATCTGAGCTCACCACTCTGGAGAAGGAAGTCCTCTCACTGCCCTCCTTCCTCTGCACTTACCGATTGTATCAGCATGGTTGAATGCAGCAGAATGAAGGCCGGTAGCTTTCTGCCTCATCCACTGGCCACATGTCCACTGTGCCAGTGTGCCTGGTGCTGGGGTAATAGCACTGCTTAAGAAAAAGATTTACCATAAGCTTTTTATCCCTAAAAAGTTATTATTTTTTTGAGATGAAGCTGTGTGTGAATTATGTCAGCTTAAGCTGAACTTGAACTCTTTTTTTTTTTTTTTCTCTTGAAACAGTTTCTCTGTAGAACAGTCCTAGCTGTTCTGGAACTCTCTGTAGACCAGGCTGGCCTCCAACTCAGAGATCCCTCTGCCCTAGGATTAAAGGTGTGCTCTACCACCGCCTGGCGAACCTGAACTTCTACCCTGATACCAGGTGCTAGGATTATAGGCTTGTGCCAGTAGGAACAGCTTAATGGTGTACCTCTTACTGTACTTTCTCCCTATAGCATGTGTTTACCCCTGGTAAACTAATGCAGGACAAAGGGTTCATGTCTGTATTAAAGGTACGAGTCCAGTCGTAAATTGTGTATGTGTGGAATCAGACAGCCTGCTTCAGCTTGATTAGTTTTATGGTAAGAATGGTACTCACAAAGGACTTGAGATCAGCTTGGCAATAGTTGTTTCTCCCTTGGTTTTTCCTGGGCTGCCTGGAGCTATGCAGGCTGAGGCTTATCAAATACCTTGTTTGAGTACCCGCCTCCAGGTCTATGGAATGTATCCCATCAAAAATTCTGTATGTGGTGGAAATGTAGTTTAGTTGGTAGCATGTTTGCCCAACACTGAAGTACTGAGGGTTTGAGTCCTAGCACCGTGAATGCCTGTAATGTCAGTGTCAGTGCATAGTAGGTTGAAGTCGGTAGGGCTAGGGCTACGAAGGGAAAGTGTGTTTCAGAAGGACCCCCCCCCCATGAACTCTGATATTTTGTAATCTCTTTGCTAGGTTTTATCTGCAGGATATAAAGATCCCATCTAAGGAGCAGACAGATAGTGATGATATAAAAGCAAATAAGTGGCCATGGTGGCACACACCTTTAATCCTAGCACTAAGGAGGCAGAGGCAGGTGGATCTCTAGGAGTTCAAGGCCAACTTGGTCTACTGAGTGGGTTCCAGGACAGCCTCCAAAGCTACAGTGAAACTGTCTCCAAAAAACAAGAAACAGGCATCTTTTAATATTGGTGTCTAGTATCTCAAAGTAGAAATTGGAGAAGTTGCATTTGGAAGCATTTCTTGAAGCATTTGGACTTGACTAAAAGAACCTGTTTCTGCTTTTTATTAATATTAACTGCAGCTCTTACTAGGGTTTTACAGATGGACTAGCACTTCAAATGAGGCTCTCAGTTGATCTTCTCTGAAGAGATGACCTCGTCCAAAGGTTTGGGTACTCATTAAGTGTCAGTATGCAGCTTATGTAAGAGATTTTTCTGAGAATTAAGTATACTGGGGTTTGGAGACCTGAGTCAGAGTTCAGGGTTGCATCTATATCAACTTTAACCTTCCCTGGTTCATCTGGGGTTTGGCCTACTTCAGATTTCTAGGGTATGCTATATTCCAGTTTCCCTTTTTGGTTAGACTCAGGACCAAGCCCAAGTAAGTGAAGGGCTAGATAGTCCTTGGATCTAGCTCAGTTGGGTAGCTTACCTAGCCTGAAGGGAGCCTTTGGTTTGATCTCGGCTCTGTGTAAATAGAGTAAGAAGACATCTCATTGAGTCCAGCCTCAGTTCTGGGCATTGGAACTCAAGTTTTTTTTTTTTTTTTTTTTTTTTTTTGTACTAATGCACAGCAGGGACTTGACTCACTGAGCTCTTTCCCAAACCC